TTCTTCAGAACTTGAGTATCAACAAGTAACTGGAGAATATTCCTTGAAACATCTGAAGACACGGTAAAAACATAAAGTGTAAAAATTACCATATTTGTTGTTAATGATTGAGATAATTGTCATCACAGCTGGAAAGGGCCTCAGGTTTCATTCTTCAGAGCACCAGTAGGGTAGAGCTAGCGAACTTGGACTTGATAGTAATGGGCCCCAAACAAAATTCTGCCTTTTCCCCTTTTGATCTTTGTGATGTGAAAAACTGAAAATCTTCTTAAGTATCTTAATGTACTAAATGGAAATAATAGCTATTCATTTTTACTGATATTTGTAAGTGACCTTTAGTATTGTCCAAAACTAAATGAAGGTCTCTAAGCTCATTCCAGTCCATTCTTTTAAATCACCATCCATCTTTTCAGACATTTACTCTCATAATGGTTTTTCAGACATTTGGCAGATTTAAGTGTCAAAATTTACAAGGTGTGTGTTGTCATCCCATGTCACATCCCATTTCACTATGTCACAGAAGGATGACAGAGTGACACAAAGGAGAATCTCAGGCTTGAATGTTCAAAATAACAGAGCTTAGGTGAAAGCTAATAGCCTTCATGGAATATTGTAATCTCTTCTTTACCTATTTTCCCTCTTAATCTTACTAATTTTCTCAAATTATCTAAAACATAACCCGACACATCTCTTCATAGCACTTACCACCACTGATGTTACATATTTATATATTTTATTATTTTGTATAGTATCTAAACTCTAGTAAGAGCAAGGAATTCTTATTTTGAAATGACTTTCTAAATAAAAATTACTATTTTGTATTTTCCAAAATAAGAATTGAGACATTTTTAGTAATAAAATGCTGTGCACCCCATTAGTTATAGTCAAAAGAAAATAGATTACAAAAGGGGGTGAACTTGTTCAAAGTACATTGTATGTATCTATGGAATTATCATGACAAAACCCCATGCACTATTAATGTATACTAATAAAAATATAGTTAAAAATGGGCATATATATGTTCATCTTTAGTAAATAATATAAAACTTGCTCTGTAGTGTATAAAATAACTATAGTTAAAATTATGCTTCCTGGATTTTTGTGATTTTAAAATACAGCACACTTTATTTGTATGAAGATTTTCATTGTAGAAAGGTATTGAACATGACAGTCTGACAGTCTGTCCTTGGGATGGTGTCACTGCTTTCTCAGATTAGCTGACAAGACTTCAGCTGGACCTCTACACATTGCCTAAGAACACTTCTAGAACCATCATAATGGGGTGTTCCACTGCCACTTGGAAAGAAATGATCATTTGAGATCAATCAATACAGTTGGTCTTTTGGCAGAAAACCAGCCATTTCACTCTTTCCAATAGAGCCTTTGTGGGAAAGGGCCTATCAAGTTCCTTAGACATGAAGAGTGCTGGAACCATTCTATTCTCAAATCATTCTATCGCCACATAAGGAAGCTGCAGATTTTGAAAGGTCATAAGTGGCCTTATAACTATTTAAACCATGTTATGATTTTTAATTAGGAAGTGAAGATGGTTATATAGTAATATCATACAAAGTTTAGGTCTCTTTCCTTTTGGTGAGAAGACTCTGCATGCTGCTGATTAAATCACAACTTCCTGACATAAATATTAAAAGAGTACAAAGCTAAGAAACAAACAATAAGCCTAACCTTACTCTGGACTTACATTCAAAGTGAAGAATTAGGTTATACAAATTGTGGAATATACAACAATGTGTAAATGACTAGGTGATAAAATTTATTTCATTATAAATAATTCCTACTTTGTTAATAATATGAGAAAATGGCATTTTTATATTAAATATTTATTTTTAACCTTGTTTTATTCTTCTGTGTTGATTAAATGGAAAACTGTATATTTTTAGAGTAAAACCATACTACTTATAGATATTATTTGATTTGAATCCTAAAGAAGAGCTGAAGATGCATCTGAAAACTGAAAGTTGGAAGGGTTTTCATGATTATTATTTCTAAATGACAAAATAAAGCCTTGTGGAAAATCAAAAGAAAATATGCTGTGATAATGAAATTATTCTTTACTCAGAATATTATAGCAGATATCTGAACTCATTTATGTATCATTAAAATAAAAAGACTTATCTGGACAATTTAAAAATTCTTAATTCAGTCGGCCTGCAGATAACTCTATATTTTAATAAATATGTTAAGCATAATTCCTCATATCTTCTTTCTAGACAGACTGTTTTGTATTTAGTGTTGGAGCTGTATAATATGGGCATTTTGAAGTTGTTTATTCCTCTGTACTTGTGGAAGAAATGATAAGGTCTGTTTTTCAAATGCTATGAGCAACTTACCCTCTTTGTGGAATGCAAATTTGTTGCAACCTCTTATACTAATGAAAGGACTGAAGCCTTATAAATGAAAGCTTGAATATTTTTATGAAATATTTTAAATTCTCTTGATCAAGTTTAATTTTTTTATAAAAGAAGATTTTTTTCATAGCATCTTAATGAATAATTTCTTTAGTGGAAGAGAAGAGTAGTGAACAAGGAAAGTTTCTATCTAATTTATATTTAAAATCAGAACTTGACTTATTTTGTCTTTAACCTTCACCAACTCTACAAAATTTTGCCTTCCACATTAGGGTGCTCTCACCTTAAATTGGCAGTCATTTGCACCTCATATGTCACTTGGAAACTTACAGATGAGTTGATTTACCATGATCTCGATTTGGGAGAGAGTCCAAAAGCCAAAACTATTCTCTTTTGTCAAAAATATGAAAGTGGAACAATGAAACCTGTTGAAATTCTTCTAAGAATGGTGGTGAGGTGGAGAGTGGGATGGGATTGAGGAAGAATGATTGAGTGGGTAAATTTAATTAAGATACATTGTAAGCACCTATGTAAATGTCACAATGAAACTCCCATAAACAACTAATATATGCTAATAAAAATTTTTTAAAATACATAACATATAATAAGCATATATTTCAGTGTTTAACTATCATTACTAATATAAAACATAATTGTATTTATAATATATGTGTGTGAAAATTTGCATATCTCTAAAATAAGTGTTCTAAGCTATGATCATATGTCTTGTAGAAAAATGTAAACACATTTTGCATGTTATTATTGATGTTTTGAAGAATATATTTCTTTGCAATTTATTCTGTGACTTTATTTCTCTTAAATGTGGTTGGATTCAGTTGCTTAAACCTTGGCATAAAAAAAATTTGATTTGGTATTTTTTCTAATGATTTCAGCAGAAGTAAAAAATTGGAGTAGTAAAATTTATTATGAAGTAATGCTTTACATTCTTATCAATATGAATTCCTGTAGTTGCATACATTTCTAATTCTCAAGTTATTTCAGTCTCACAGTTATAAATAATTTTAATTTAATGTCTTTCTAATATCTGATATGACTTTTAAACTTACTACATCCATGCTTTGACATTCTGAAAATAGATGTGAATTAAACATTATTTGTCCCAGCAAGGGAAGATGTATCTCACTGATACTGTGAGCTTCCAAAGTGGCACAGACAAGCTGTTTCTGAGATTACAGCACAGGAAAACACTCCCACAGCTACTGTGTTGTCCTTGGTTCCCAGTCTCAGATTTATGGTCTTGATAGTATAAGGGTAGAATCTGCCTATGTAATGTCAAGTCTGTGATTGAACTGTCTGAAAGCATAGAAGTTAATACCAAAACAAACTAGAACAAGAGCTATTTTGTATCTTTTAAAGCATTTACAAGAAACTATTTATTTTTAACAAAATTATGTATTAGTTAAGATTTACAAATGGTAATATATTTTTAATAGCAAATGAAGGCTAGCCAGGGAGCGAAGTAGTAGCTCTAGTCATGCTTACAATAATACATATCAGTTTAGAATGGGGATGGACAAGTTAAAAAAGCAAGTGGTAGATTTTCCTTGTTTAAAGTGGGTGGGCCAGGAAAGGGAATTTATGAGAAGTACTACTGGGTGATTTCTTTCATATCAAGCTAGTTGTGTTATTGATTAATTTTGCCAGCTTTGTAGTGCTTTTGCTTTGTCCCTTCATTTTTCCCTTTGTTTTCGCTCATTAATTTGCAAGCAGTTGAGGGAGGTATATGAGTAAATGCTGATGATGCCGATCATTGATTCAGGTAGTAATATGAAGTTTCACTGAGGATGGTACTTGTCAGGAGGAGAATTCACAATTCCACTCTCTCTACATTTCAGTTTTGAAAGGTGCAAAGAATGAAATAACTTAATGCTGTGAAATGAGTGTGAAACCAGGAGATGGAAATGTTACCCTGAGTTCTGCCATGAGCTAGCTAAACAATTTTGCTATGCTTATCTGTAGAGAAAGGCAGTTGGACCAGTTGATTTTTAAATTAACTTCTAGTTCTAAGACTAGATCTGTCTTAACAAAGGGCACAAAAATTTCCTTGTAGCAATTCCCTGTGCCAGGTAACAACTCTACAAGATTCCTAAAATGTAGAACTTGGGGCACTGTGAGCTGAAGCTTTCTTATATCCACAGAATGAACTACCGCCTTAACATCTATGATTTTAATGATATAAAAAAAAAGCTGCTATTAGATCTATGCTTTTTGGTTTTAATTTTGTTTTACTTCAGTTGTTGTTTTGCTTCATTTTAGCATTATGTGGTGGTTTTCATTTTTGCTTTTCACCTTCCTCAACTCAGTAATAAAATTACTAAATTGGCTAATAGTTGTGAACAATAATTAGTTGTAACACTAATGCAATGTTAATCACTACATTCATGCTCTATAGAGCACAAAAAATGTCAGTCCACATACAATGCTTTTATTCTAATGTTCATGTGACCTTTGTCACTATCAGTGTTGCAGCCTGGTGTAAATGTGAGGAGAGACCAGATCTACCTGTGGTTACCCAGCAAAGGTGCCACAACACTCAATGTTGTGATGAGGTAAACATTGTTCTGCTCCTTCACTGTTCTCTATGTCATCTAATTTCTATTTCTTTTGCAGGCCATCCTTAAAGATTAACCACAGAGCATTTTATTCATCTGTAAAGGTAGGAAAAAGAATCCTTTCTGATAATGCAATATGCTAAATTTGTTTGCGCTATTTCAAAGTTTACCCCCCCTTGCTAGTTGCATAGTTAATGCTGTTTATTCTGAATAAATGAAGAGCAGATTGTCTGTGTTTACTTGCTAAACTTGAGAACATCTAAACCATAGTACTGAATTGTCAATTTGAAATTTTCTTCTATACTATTACACTTTGTGGTTTACTGAAGACAAAAATTTTCATTTATATATACACATTTTATAATATCTTCTGTAATTTTATGAAGCTTGATATACTGTATAAAACTTCCATATATTAGGAAAATAAATTATTGCATATAATTTGAGAAATTGAGGATTCCTTGTCTACTATAATTTTATATTTGTCTTGCTATTCTAAACCTAATTTTTTAAGGAAATAAGTAAACATGTCAATAATTTAACAATGTAAATGTTTACTTGGAAGGATTTGTTTCAGTATTTACTTAAAAGTGGAGAAAAATGTGACCCTTTTCTAGGTTAGAATGTATGTGAAGATAAATTTAGAATTTCTAGTCTAATAGATACTTCTTTGATAATTTAATTGTAGCTATTTCAAACTAAATTGTTTAATCGTGGTGAATTATATGCAAATTTTTCAGATGTAGGTCAACCCCCCACTCACACATTCAACTTTTTTCTAATTCAGGACAGACTGCTTTGTGCCTAAAAGAGCAGAACAGTGCAGATTAGAAATATAGGACAAAAATGGGAAAAAAGCAACATATAAACTAACTGAACTCCAGGAGTCAGAAACTCCTGCAAAAATGAGAAGGCAGGTTGAATTTGTTTATGCACTGATAGATGATCTCTTAGACGTGCAGTGTGTTTGTCAAGAATAGTTTCCTCATTGCTAAGGGGACCCATGGCCTGTGAAATCCTGGTGCCTTTAGCATGCTGTTTCCTCATCTGTAAAGTTCACCTGATAACATCATCTTTGTGTATTCACTGAACTGAAATGAGAATCAAATTGTACACACACACAAACAAAAAGTAAAGTGACTCTTTGAATCCCATATGAAAAAAGCATGCTACTTTCAGTGATCTGATTGAATGACAGAAGAATGAGTCTCAGTCAGACCACTTATGGGCATCTCCTGGTGTGGCCATCTGAGATAAACTGCACTTGCAGAACTATAGAAGTCCTTTATTTTTCTAGATGTTGTTTTATAGTTCTAGTTTATAGATGCCTTTGAGGTGAAGTATTGTGTCATTGTCTCATGAATGGCCATGGTTTCATGGTTCCATTTAATCTTTATTTGTTGTCTGCTGCACTTTCAAAGAAAAGTTTTTATTTCCAGTTACCAATGCTTTGAAAAATGTGGACCAGATTGCACAAATTTGTAACAGTTATTGCCTTTCATCTTTAGGTGATTATTAGTGATGCTTTGCTATAGTAGCAAAACCAGTGAATCTTGCTGCTTATTGATGAAAAATACCTGTTAGGCTTTAATTCTAGTAAAATTAGAATTCTGCTTTGATATTAGCATAGTTGTTTTTAACTGCCATTCACTTGAATTTGATCATTCAAGAATGTAAACTTGGGCCTGAGGGTTGGCTCAGTGGTAGAGTTGTTGCCTAGCATGCATGACACACACTGCAAAAAGAAAAAAAAAAATGAACATAAACTTAAATCTGAAGATAATTTCTGATCTTTCATACTTTCTAGAAATTAACTATTGAAAACTACTTTAATCATAAAACTATTTTTGTAATTTTTAAAGTGTGGAAAATAGATGGTATATACTTTGTAGTTCAAATATATTTTTTATTGTGTGAATCATTTAATATAAAAAAATAGAGAATTATACTAAATAGAAAATGATATTTCCCTCAAAGTTAGTTGCTGCTGAGTTTTGGTACTTTCAGATTCCTTCTTCATATTCATGAGTAGCAATATAGGCACAAAATATCAATATAGACACATAATGATGCATTTCTATAAAATACAATCTTGTGCTTTTTACTATTTTAATTATAGACACCCTTCTAAATCAACATACTGTTCATTTCTTCTTTATTAGTGGCTGCATATTAGGCAATCTTTTGGATGTATCATGATTTATTTAATAGAGCCTATAAACATTTTTAAAATAGAACTTTAAAAGAGAACAGAAAGAAACCTTCCCTAATTACATTTTTGGCAGGCATAGAAAAGATTAATTCACATTTCATTGAATAGAGAAATTGAGGAGTGAAGAAAAAGTGCTATACTTCAGAGGAATAGAAAATAGTACTAGGTAAGTACACAGGAATGGTCAAGGGAAAAAAGAGCTAATCATATAAGTGTTCACGCAGGCATATCATAGGTACTTAAAAGTGAAAATGTACCAATTTCTTCAAGAGTCAATCAAACGATACCTCTTTCCATAAGCATTTTGAAACTCTTCCCTTCAGACCTGATCTCACCTGTTGTCTTACATCTCCACAGCACATCAGGAAAAAATAGATCTTTTCACATTATCTCACATCTAAAATTTCATTTTGAACATATCTTTATTTCTCCACTAAGCTCTAAACCCCTGGAGAGTAATGACTGTGTTATTAGTCTTTGAAGTTAGTAGATGCAGAATAAATATCCATTCAAGTGAATTGGATTGAAATGTGAGAAAAGAGAGTAATCAAGTAAAACTATGAAATTTTACATTTTACAAGGCCACTCTCTGCCTTTGTATTATCCCTGGAGTCAATCAAAAACAATTCTTCAGATGAATTAGGGACAGATAATAAAAACATGTATTTTTCGTGTACAAATGAAAATTACTTTGAATTGAATTTTAATGTTCATTTTGGTCATCTTCCTCAAAATCATACATTAAATCATGCATGAAAGCCAGGTATTTCATAAAAAAATTTAGAAATGTTTGAAAAAAGAGCATTTGTATTGTGCTGACATATATTACTTCATATGAATTTAAGACACTCACTTTTCAAGCATTGTACATAAGTGAGACATTGTTAGTGTTAATATTGTAATAAAATTGGCTCTGTGGATTAACATTTTCAATATTTCTTTGCAAAACAACAGTAATATATATAAAAGCAATTCTCTGTGAATTCTGTTAGAAGAAAAGAGTGTTATTTTTGGTACTTTGTATAACGCAAATTGCATTTACTGCCATTTGGAACTTTGACATTATCTCAACCTGCAAAAGTAAAGTCATTACTAGTTTGAATCATTCTTGAAAGAACCTCTGACTCTACCTCAGTCTGAATTCAGTGGTACTACAAACTTAAAATATTGTGAACAGATGAAACAATTTCCGTTTTCTTTATAGAAAAACTAAAAATTAGTGGGTCTAAAAAGTCTCTTTTGAAGCTGAATGTAATACCTAATGTATAATAGTTTTCCTTGTCATCTGCCTTGTAGAAGTCACTGAGTAAATCTCTGAGTTCATATATTTTTACTGGGAAGTCATTAAGTCACTGTGAAGAAGGAACAGACCTTGATCAGTCTTTTCTAAGATTCCTTGTTTGTTTGTTTTTTTGAGCTTGTTGCTTTTATTTTTAAACTCATAGTTTGAAACTAAGTATTTTGAATATCTATATTTGCAGTATCTTTGTTTTTAATGCCATGGTGCCTTTATTGGCTAGGATTACAAACGCCAGTGCTTCTAGGGCTCAAGCAACAAAAAATGAGTGTGCTGAAATAAATAGCAGACACTAGTGAATGGTGCGGACAGGGGAACATATGGGCAGTATCTGAATTATAAGGACTACATATCATTTTAGTTGAATTTTTTAACCAGTTGTATATTATAGAGACCACAACTTCTGAAGGTTTTGGAATTTCTATGTTAAATATCATGGTTTGATGTTGGCTCAAATTTAAAAAGGAAGGAAGGAAGGAAGGAAAAAGCTACATAGTGAGTCAAACTATGCCTTAAACTGGTAATTTTGCACTTTCAAATAGGTGTCTTGTAACTATTTACTCAATGAATGAATGAAATAGTGGCCCTCTACAATAAATTGGGAAATAATAATTTTTAAAAACCTCTTACTCTCGTGCTCCCTTCTCCATTAGAAACTTCAAGTAATATTTTAAGGAGGATCGTAGTAATAGCAACAAATCGGAAGACCTCCCAGATAAGTATGTCTCTGAATTCCAGAAGGCAGAAAGACAAGAAGGAGAGGACCTAAGTGAGTCAAGTAAGCTTAGGAGGGTTTTGCTGAAATGTATTATGCTGTGCAAACATGATTTTTGACATATTTATATCTGAATGATTACTTACTTTATCCCAGTAATATTACCATCTTTTTCTTTGAGTTTTCTGCAATTTTTTCTTTAATTAATCCCGAAAGGAAATGTTGAATAATGAAAATGGATTTAAAAAAATAAAATGCATGAGAAAATAAAATTCAGACATGCAAATCATGTCACATGATCACTACTAAATAAACAGAGTCTATTGGACCCTGAATTGTTTAGCAGTCTGTCCTGTTTATGATTTATTTCCTTTTTCCATGTCTCCTGCTTTCCTTCTGGACAGACTCACCTTTCCTTCGTCTATTTCAAACCTTTGTTAGTTACACTACTGTAATTTCATTGCACTTAATAGTATTTACCTACAGTGGCTCACATGGCTTTCTTCTCTAGTAGAGTTTAGAATATCGAGGAGAGGAAGAATAATATTTGAAATTATTTTTGAAAGAATTATAAGCTTACAGAAATTTGGAAATATCATATAGAAAACATTTTCTGTTGAACCATTTCTAAGTTGCCAAACTAATGCCCTATTACCCACATTTGCTTTAGGGTGTGTCCACTAAAAGCAAAGACACTTTTCAGATGAGCACAAAAAAATCAGTAGTATCAGGTACTATAGAATGAATTATGTTCCCTACCATGAAATTCATATATTGAAGCACTAGCACCCAATGCATTTGAATGGCATTTGGAAGTGGGGTCCTTGAGGAGGTTTTAGGTTTAGATGAGATCTTGTGATTGGGACTCTCATGATGACAT